CCTTTAAATACAGTTCCTCATGTTGTGACCCAACCATAAAATTATTTTCATTGCTACTTCATAACTGCAATGTTGCCATTGTTATGAATCGTAATGTAAATACCTGATATGCAGGATGGTCTTAGGCGACCCCTGTGAAAGGGTCGTTCGACCGCCAAAGGAGTCGCGACCCACAGGTTGAGAACCACTGCTCTAGGTATAGCCTGCCTCTATATCTCCATACTGTAGGGTGAACAATCTAAACTCGTCAAGTCCCAAACCCGCTTCTCCACCCATAGTTATTACCTTAGCAAAGGGCACCACCATCCATCTAATTTCCTAGAAACCCTCTTACCGCCCCCATCTAATTATTATGGACACTGAAATTTGAATTTTTTATACTTATGTCATGAAATAGTCTTTTTATTTTTTTCAAACCATTCTTAGCTCTCGGGCCATACAGCACAGGCAGGGCCAGGTTTAGTTTATGGGTCATCATTTGCCAGATCCTGCTCTAGATCTGGGTTTTAAGATGAATTCACTCTTAGAATTGGAATCAGTAAGTCCCTGCCCATCTCAAAAAAATGATAGGTCCAGCCAGTGTGATTCAGTGGTTGAGCATCAACCTATGAACCAGGAAGTCACAGCTCAATTCCTGGTTGGGGTTATGGGATGGATCCCCAGTAGGCGGGCCTGGGGATTTAGAGAAGAGAAGGAGATTAACATGAAATTAACATGGAAAGTATTATTTTCCCTACTATCTCAGGGATCTCAGAGCTGAAGGGATAGAGAAGATCATCTTATCCAGTGAGGAGAAATGATAAAAAGGGGACATGAGTCCTGCAGCTCAGTTGAAGTGCCTTCCTCTACACCAAAAGGTTGGGGGTTCGATTCCTGGTCAGGGCACATACCTAGGTTGTGGATTTGATCCCATCGGGAAGCATAGGGAAGGCAACTGATCAATGTTTCTCTCTCACAACGATGTTTCTCTCTCTCAAAATCAATGAAAACATATCCTCAGGTGAGGATTTTAAAAAAAGACATGAATAGGGCCAGCTCAAATCCAAGCTCGGGCACTACTTTGCTCTGTGACCTTGGACAAGTTACTTAACCTCTATGAGCTTTAACTGCGTCAGCAAAAGTGAACATAACAATCGTTGTACCCTGGAGAGAAATGTTGAAGATTAACTAAAATGTGAATATTGCTAGCAAATGGTTGATGGTTGCTTTTTTTGTTTTTCAGTTTACAAAGATAGCACCAAGGGGGTCAAAGAGCTGAGGTGAGATCACACAGCTGGTCAATGGCCAAGCTGGTTCTCCTGGTCCTATACTTGGCACATGTGCTGGGAAGCAGGATATAGGTTCACATAACCAAAGACGCTTCTGTCATCAGAGCTTCGACACTGCTTGTGTGGGTAAGCCTATGAAAAGCAGCTCTGCTTCAACCATTTCCCTTCTTAAAAATAGGTGTGTAGCCCTGATCGGTTTGGCTCAGTGGATAGAGCATCAGCCTGTGGACTGAAGGGTCCAGGGTTCGATTCCGGTCAAGGGCATGTAGCGTGGTTGCGGGTGCATCCCCGGTAGGGGGCTTGCAGCAGGCAGCTGATGGATCTTCCTCTCTCATTGATGTTTCTAACTCTCTATCCCTCTCCCTTCCATCTCTGTAAAAAACCAATAAAATATATTTTAAAAATAAAATAATTTTTTAAAAAAATCAATAAAATATATATTTTTTAAAAATAAGTGTGCATAAACTTATATTTTTACACTTTTTATGCTCTTTTAAACAGTTTTAGAAAATTAGTGGTGGTGGTGGGGATCCCATTATCCACTTAGCTGTTATTCAAGTGTAGTGAGTTTCTTGCAAACTAGATATATAGGAATTTATTTCACAAACTAGAACAGGGGTGGGCAAACTTTTTGACTCGAGGGCCACAATGGGTTCTTAAACTGGACCGGAGGGCCAGAACAAAAGCATGGGTGGAGTGTTTGTGTGAACTAATATAAATTCAAAGTAACATCATTACATAAAAGGGTAAGGTCTTTTTTTTTTTTTTAGTTTTATTCATTTCACCTGGTCCTATACTTGGCACATGTGCTGGGAAGCAGGATATAGGTTCACATAACCAAAGACGCTTCTGTCATCAGAGCTTCGACACTGCTTGTGTGGGTAAGCCTATGAAAAGCAGCTCTGCTTCAACCATTTCCCTTCTTAAAAATAGGTGTGTAGCCCTGATCGGTTTGGCTCAGTGGATAGAGCATCAGCCTGTGGACTGAAGGGTCCAGGGTTCGATTCCGGTCAAGGGCATGTAGCGTGGTTGCGGGTGCATCCCCGGTAGGGGGCTTGCAGCAGGCAGCTGATGGATCTTCCTCTCTCATTGATGTTTCTAACTCTCTATCCCTCTCCCTTCCATCTCTGTAAAAAACCAATAAAATATATTTTAAAAATAAAATAATTTTTTA